ATGGAGAAATTTTATGGGGAAGGTCTCATAGAGACCTTTTTTTTTCCTTCCTCCCATCACAGAATGTGGGATTGGACTCACAGATACCAAGTTTATATACAGTCTTATCATCATCTGAAACAGCTGCCTTTGTATATGTACATTAAAAGTTTTAACTAGATTAATCTCTGCATTATTGTATTAGGAAAGTGGTCTGTTAAACAACTCAAAAATAAAAGCAAAAGAAAGACAAGCTTTGCTACACATTCTTTATAGTTCTGTAATTCTCAGTTGTGAGCTCTGGGTATCATAATAGAGACATTACACATACATAGCATGGAAGATGTTTTACTGATAATGTAGCAGTGATACTGTTTTATTTTCATTTAGTTTGTGGATATATACATTATACCACCATATAGGAAGAGAGACACATTTTAAACTAAATCTGTGTTTAATTTCAAGCCTTAAAATTGTTAATCTGCCAGTAGAGTTTATTTTGCATCCAGCGTATCAAATTTCAAATGGTATAACAACATGATGCAGATTTTATGTCAACTTAATGGATAGGTAACTATTTCCATGCATGTTAAAATCTATGCTGTAAGTACTGCAAGACTTACTGTAATGATAACTTCAAGAAACAAAAAATAATTGTTGAAACCATCAGTAATATTTCTTATTTTGTAGAACTGATGCTTCAGCACATATGAAAAATATTTTATTGTGGTTTTACTTTAAAAACAGTTCAAGTGGTGTGTGCATTTTTGAAGCTGAAAAAATAAAATGCATATATATATTTTATATACAGTTCTATTTTTTATTTAATATAAGAGAAACAAAAGTTGTTTATTTTTTAAAAACCTGGTCCATATTAAATGTCAGATGCCAACCATTGTACATGTAAGATGAGTGGATTATTAATTGCTATGTTATGTATAAATGTAGTTTCACTGTAGGAGAAGCACTCCTCAAAAGAAGAGACATCGCTTGTCAGGTTAGCAATACACTTCTTACATTTGTGTAAAATAATAAAAAGACAAGTTTTCTCTTTAAACACCTGTGGCAAACTTTTTATAATACAAAGCAAAGTAAATCTCGAAGTCTAAACTATATGAAAATACCACAAACTTCATAAAAGGACAACTGTTGGTCCTTTTGAGCTACAGAATATTCTGTGTAGTTTTGGAATAATATCTTATGGATTTTTTAAAAAATCATTTAGACTTTGATATATGTGGGTAAACTGAATTCTCTAGGAAAACAGTTGAGAAATTGCTACGATATTTTATTCCTTAGGACATATTTTACAAAATAGATCAAAATATGTTCTTAAAGCTAGACACGTTTCGTTTTCTTCTGAAGTCAAGATGATAACGATTAAAAAAAGGTAACATGAAAAAATGGTAGGAATCTTCCTTTAGGACACTATATGTTACAGATGTTAAAAAATTATCTTCATATTTAAACAATTTTCTGTGGGGATATTCTGTGGATATCTATTGTTACAAGAAATTTAAGTAAAAATTAGCTATGAAGCTCCATCCAGATACACTTCATTGATTAGCAGAAGTGTTTTGTCTGATGTGTTACTTATCTGAAACTTTATAAAGTATTTTTCTCACATTCCTTTTGGATGTATTTTCTCACTTGTGATTCTCTACAACATTTATGGTATCTGTTGAAGAGCCTGTTAAAGACTTTTTTCTGTATTTGTCTTACTGTTTCTGTTTACATTTAAGACATGCTGCAAAATGCTATGTTTTTGTTAGATCTAGTTGTTTCATATTAGCAAATATTACTCAGTTTTTCAATATTCTGTATTTCAGTATGATGTGCACAGCTGAGCAAAATATTTTCCTCTGGGAAAGGGTTGGCTCACAGTCCTTTACAGTTTCAGAAGTGTCATCTGAAAGAGATGGGCTTGGGCAGCACATTTCAGATCTGGATGGGAGCCAAAGCTTCCCTGGAATTCAGAGGCATGTGGGAGGTGGATACTGTAGTTTGATTTACTAGGTGCTCTGAGTTGTAACTTCCACATTAGCACCAGTTGACATTGCTCATGCGCTCCAGCTTCTGTTGCAGCTACATAGTAGCTCAGCCCTCCAGTTTCTGTGCAGCTGGGTTCATACCTGATTTGATTAATAGTAAATCTATATCATAGGTTCAAAAGAATCCATTGTTATCATATGGTTTAAATTTCCGCATATCAGGATGTATTCTTTAATCTTTTTCTTGCTTTTAGTGTATCAGCTGTGACTGAAATAGAGCTTATCTTTCAGAAAAACATCCAATCTTGACTGAAGAATTTCCACTGCTGGAAAACTTATCATCACTCTAAGTAATTTCTTCCAAAGGATAATTAACCACACAATGGAAAACTTGCAGTTTACTCCTCATCTAAATTTTAGTACCTTCGAATCATCAAACCTCTGTGCTAGACTGTAGAGCTCTCTGTGGTCACGTTCCTCTTCCTCATAGATTTATTTATTCACTATGAATAAATCATACCTTAATTTACTTTTTAATAAACTGAATAGTGCTTCTCATGTCTGTCTTAGTGCAACTATTTTCTAGGCTTACAATCATTTTTTTTCTCTTCTCTGAATCATCTCCATTTTTTCACTTTCCTTCTAGAACTGTAAGAAGGAAAATTAGACATAGAATTTCAGTAGTAATTGCACAAGTGCCTAAAAAGAGATAATACCTATGTTCCTATTTAGTACTTTCACTTATACATCCCCAAATTCATCCTTTTAATCAAATGTTACACTGTAATCTCAAATTCATATTCAACATCCCAAATCTTTTTATATGCTCTGGTTTCCAGGATAGAACTCCTATATTGAGCTATATCCTGTTTTCATTGTTTGTATGTATATGACCTTAAATTTAGACATAAAAGACACTGTATTGGGCAGATCAAAAGACAATGTATAGCAATAACCTGACTGCAACAGGAGGGGAGACATGATAACCAGGATGGAAGTTTTCTGTGATTAAAGCTCATCTTTTGCACTCCAGATGTCCTGACCTCTGATTTCCACAAATGTGGGAAACTTGACTGCATAACTTACAGAGTAAGTAGTGTGAAACTCTGTTCATGCTCTACCAAGGCAGAAGAAACCCAGGACCATAAATGAATGCCCAGGGCAAAGTAAGAACAGGGCAAACACACAGCTTTCTAATACTCTCCAAGCCCCCACCTGTTTTTAGCTCAGGGAGTTGAAAACTGAAGGAGATATTTATTTTTTTACTGACTTTCAGTGAAATCTTTTAGCTTTCACAGAATCCTTTCCCAACTAGTTCCACTAGTCTGTTGCCTCATTTGAAGAACCAACTCCCTTTATTTCTTTTTAACCTGAATCCTATTACACCTCATTATTAAAAGAGATTATATCTGTATTAAGAGAGACATGGGACAGTCAATCCCTATCTGTCCCGCTCAATGCCATCCCTAACATTGTAGACCTCTATCATATCCCTTCAGGCATTCCTCTTCTAGACTGAAAAAAACTTTGGATTATCTTTGCTGCTCTTCTCTGAAACTTTTCCAGTGCTACAGTAACCTTCCTGAAACTGAGGCTGCAGAATTGCATGAAGTTTTTAAGGTGAATGTGAACCATGGATTTATACAGTGGTATAGTGACATTCTTTGTTCACTATTTTTTTCCAAGTCCTAATATTCCATTTGTTTTTTGATTGCCATCTACCCTAACCCCAAGATATCATTTCTAATTTTTAATGATCAGCTGAAAACCTGTCATTTCATCTATGGAGTTAGGATTGTTTTTTCTGATGTGCATCACTTCTCATTTTCTCATTTGCTATTTTATTGCCCTCTTAGTCTTAGTAAGTTCTTTGACAGTTGGTCACAACTGACCCTGAATCATAATATCATCAACAAACTTTGTCACATAACCAGTGCTTCCATTTTTCAGGGTGTTTGAGTATGTTGAATTGCACAGCTTCAACATAGTTCTGTGGAACTCCACTAAATCACATCCCTTTATTGAACTGACTATTTGCTCTTATCCCCAGTTTCCTATCCTTTAGTCATTCTTTTCAATCCATGCAATGACCTTTCCTCTTATAATATAGTGGCTTAGTTTCTTTAAAAGATATCAGGGAGAGACTTTGTCAAAATCTTTATGGAGTCCAGTTAGACATATCAACTAGATCACCATTGCCACAAGCTTGGTAAGTTTTGTAAGGTAGGACTTCTCTTAACAGATCCATGGTGACTCTAAGTATACCATATTGTTGCAAGAATATCGTATTTAGACAGATGTCTGCTAATTCTGTTCTTTATTACAGTCTACCAATTTGTCCAGCACAGCTATTTGGCTAAAAGGCCTTGGATAACCCTTGAACTCTTTTAAAAAAGTTGACATCACATTTGTTGTTTCCCAGGACATTGGTAACAGGGCAGTTTGAAGCAAGAGGGTACATGCCACTTCTACAGAATCAACTATTTTACCCTGTTTCCTTTATAACTCAGTTGAATACTATCTAATAATGGCAATTTGTAATTGTTCACAATGTCAGGGTTTTTTTATAAAAACTTTCTACAGTGACTTCAGTTTCAGAAAAATCCTCTGAAATGTCCTCCACAATAGAAGATTCCAGCTGTAATCTCTTTGGTTTCTTCCAGAATGAACACCAATGCAAAGAATGCAGATAGCTTCTCTGAAATGTCTGTATCTTCACTGTGTGTTCTTTTGCTATCTGCAAACACTCATACAAAACTCACAATACTCAACTGCCTAATTTACTAGTCCATTCAGAGCAAGCCGTATTAGTAATCTGGCACCTGTGCTATTCACTCTCACTCCCATCTATATGCCATTTGCAGACTTTATCAATGATTCCATTTCTTACTCTGCGTTATTTAACACCATAGAATCAAAATAATCTAACATGTTTCTTCTTTAGTAGTAGTTTTACTAGTACTAGTAGAAGAGATTAAGTTTTATATTAAATGCACTTTACACATTTGTTAATTATTTGCTTTATTTTAGGGAGGTAATCCAACAGCTACTGTAATCGCATTGTGTTCAATGAGAGATTTCAATCTGGCTCAAGAAACTTGTCAGCTGGCCATCAGAGACATTGGATGTCTTGAAGTGTTAATTAATTTACTTGACACAGAAGAAATTAAATGTCAGGTAAGTAGCTTTGTTGAATAAAGCAATGAATATGCCTTTTCTGTTAGAATATTTTTTCAATTTTCAAAGTTACATAGTATAAAGAAAATTGATTTCTTTCTTTTCTCATTTCTGTATTTTCTCAATTTCAAGGATTTTTGTGGAAAAAAATCAATTTCTTTGACTTTCAGTTTCCTTCTCTTCTTCTGATTCAATTTAAAAGATAAAATGTTTTAGATAACCCAGCATTTTAAAGAATTTTTCTGTTGATGTGTACTTAAATAATGTTTAACATCTGTTATCTTCCATTATTTAGATTGGTTCATTAAAAATCCTGAAGGAAATCAGTCAAAATACACTGATCAGACATGCAATTGCAGATCTTGGGGGCTTACAGATCATGGTGAAAATACTGGACTCTCCAGATAAAGATCTAAAATGTTTGGCAGCTGAAACAATTGCTAATGTTGCTCGATTTAAACGAGCACGAAGGACAGTAAGGCAGCATGGAGGAATCAAGAGATTGGTAAGCAGACATAAAAATTTGTACCCTTGTCGTATGCATGTTTTTGTCCAAAAAATATGTCATATGTTGTATACATGATTCTCATGGTAGTGTTTGCCATCATTAAAAAGCAGTATAATATCAAACTGCCCTGTAGATAATTAAAAAAATGGTTTTTTTAGGTTGGGCTGTTGGAATGTATTTCAGTGGGATCAACCAGTCTAACACCGTATCAAGCAAAAGACACTGAAATAGCACGCTGTGGGGCTTTGGCACTCTGGAGCTGCAGCAAAAGCAGCAAAAATAAAGAAGCAATCCGTAAAGCTGGTGGCATTCCATTATTAGGTAGATGGCTCAGATGTTCACATGCAAACATCTTAACCCCAGTAGTGGGGACACTACAAGAATGTGCTTCAGAGGTAAGTAACATATAGCTAAGTTATTTCTAATCACTAAAACAATTAGCTACTAAAAGGAAGCATTACGTTCGACTGTCACTTAAACCAGGGTAGTTATTCCGTCAGGAAGTAGATGCTTGTGTGGTCAAACTGTTTTTGAGAAGGTCACAGCTTGTGATGAAGTAAAGACCACATATTTTTTATTTAAAAGGCTAGGAGTAGTTTCTGAAAGAAAATATATAGAAATTAAATCCTTAATCAGTTTAATTTTATTCTCATTTTTTTCATCATACTTGACAAATTTGGCAACTTAAGATGCCATATTCTGGTTAATCAGTACATTTAAATTCTACAAAGCTAACCTGCAGATGTGGCCAAGAAGATCTAATGCAGTATGGTTTACAATATCCTTGTGAATTGGGTAAGTCGATGTCTGATTGACTGCAAAAAGAAGAAAGGAATATATCTGGTTTTTCTACAGATTTCCTTGGCAGGTTTCACAACTTTGAGTTTATTCAGTTTTTAAATTTGAATACAAGTATTTTTTACCATCATCATATAAGATGAGTCGTTATTTCTCCATTTGTGGAATCATATTTGAAATTAAGGTGCATTGCACGTAAGGTAAAAAATATACATAAGTTCTTTTGGTGAACTTGAGACATGGAAGACACGATTTTTCAAAAGATTTTACATTATAAAACACTTTGTATTTTCAAAATTAACTTCATGAACTACATGGGTTTATGCATGCTCCACGAGGCAGCAACCTGTCAGATTTTAGCTTCAATAAGTCTATACTGAGAAAGTGAAGTTTTTGAGGGTTTCTTATCTGGAAATAACAATAAATGCATCTCTTACACAGATGTTTCCCCTCTCTTAAATAATGGTTCCCTGTTACAATGCCTGTGGGTTAAAATTTGGAAGAAAAGATCACTAAAAAATTTTGATTCTAGGAACATATCTACCTAACCTTGTTCTAGGAATAGATCTGTTGTTTTGGCTGCTGGCTCTCAATGAAATGAGTGGGTATTTCTTGATCCCATTCTGAAGCATCTTTTTCTTCCTTGGCTCAGAGCAGGGAGTCTGGACACCTTTCAGAATATTCTGAATTCTGTTTAAGCCAGGTGGCTACAAAATAGGCATTGCAGCACCTGGTTTTACAGGTGATTTGAAGAGCACTGCAGAGAATTCTTGTAATTGATTAACTTTGAGAACATCAATAGTATTTTCAAGGCAATGCAGGTGACTTGTGTTTAAAATAAAGTGTAAGACTTCTCAAAATCAAAGCCTAGAATTGTAGCACTGTCTTATTATTGTGACTAGTGTTATTAACTGTTAATATACAGGATTTAAAAGATGCAATTTATCTTTTTAGCCAAGTTACAGACTTGCAATAAGGACAGAAGGAATGATTGAGAACCTCGTGAAAAATCTAAGCAGTGAACATGAGGAGCTTCAGATGCATTGTGCAAGTGCCATATTTAAGGTAATTGTATTATTACAATCAGTAGATCAGAGCCAGGATTAGCCCTTTGTTTTCATGTGGCTGTCAGGTTTAATATTTCTTAATTTTACTATTTCTCTATTATGTAAGAAGTTACTTTATAAAAATGTTGATGGTCTGTGGCTTAATTCTTATGAGAATATTTTAGCTGCATGTTTAATATTGTAATTAAGTTCCTACTTGCTCTTCTTGTGTGCAAGCCCTAAATTGCACAGCTAACCAACGGAGAGAGGCAGGGCATACTGTGCAAAGAGCTGCTTTGGTTTTTTACGTTTGTTGGCCCACAAGATGGACAATGTGACAGTATAAGCACTGCTGCATATACAGTAGCAGTTTACTGTCAAACTCTCTTAGTGAGTTGTTAGCATATTCAGATACTTTAATAGAATATTTATGTTTTCTTCTGTATTATTTTTTACTATTATTACATAATACACCTAGCTTTTGAAGACATCATTTTACACGTTTTACATAATATGTACATAATATATATATTTAATTTTTTTGTATAGTGTGCAGAAGATAAAGAAACACGTGACCTGGTTAGACAGCATGGAGGTCTACAACCACTATCTGTTCTGCTTGGTAACGCTGAAAACAAACAACTTTTAGCAGCTGTGACAGGAGCAATCTGGAAATGTGCAATCAGTGGAGAGAATGTGTCAAAGTAACAATTTAATTTTATGAACATTTATTACATTTTCATGTTTTGATTTTATGGGCCTCTGTTGTTTTCAAAATTGTTAAGTTATGATTCTTCAAAACCTTACTTTATAATCAGTTGGGCTTTCAAATTACTTTTTATAGTACTTAAAAAATTGCCGCCTGACCTCATCAGGGTACAGTGGAAAGTGTTAAGTTCCTAGAATCTTAAGAGTCAATGGAGACAATTGGTGCCTCTAAAGAATAGTTAAGATATAGGACACTGAGTCAGGAAGTGTACTAGCACATACTAAATGTTTGACACGTGGGCGTATCTGATATCTCCACTCCTCTCTGTAGCTTACAAACCGGAATCACTGCTGCATGGTAGGAGAGTAGTTAGCACACTTAGCTTTAACGTTTTACGTCAAGAGAGACAGAGAGCAAGCTGTCTCATTCTAGGGTAGATATCTAATACACATTAGGTCCACCTACTTTAGAAATATACTTGAATCTAGGATAATTAGCCTAGATGCCTCTCTCCTTGACTACAGAAGGAGCTCAGAAAAGTAGCTTAGTCTGGACACCCAGCTTCTAAATGAGTGGAATTAACTGATGAGAGTCCTACCATAGGTACCTACAACCTCTCAGTATCAGGGTTCTGAGTGATTATCTGAGCATGTGACAGCAGGAGTTACCACCCTCCACCTTTCATGGAAGAGCTTAATGATTGAGAATACTTGACCCCCTCATCTGAAATTCACTTATATCAGATTCATGCCCCTTACCTCAAAAAAAAGCCTTCTCCACTGGAGTATGTGCTAGGTTTCTTGCTGAAGTTATGCTGCTGTGTACAGAGGAATGTAAGGTTCATAGTCTGGAAGGAGTATCAGTAAGAGGTAACCTCTTCCTGCAGCCCTAATTTTAGTGTACTTTGCTGGACAAGCAGATATGATAGATAACTGCTGGATAAAAATCAGAAAGGATTCCAGTAATAAGGGTTTACAGTCTGGCTTTTTACTGTCCTAAATGAGTTCCCAAACTGTTGTTATACAGAGCCATGGTCTTTACATACTCTACTGCTGTCCTACTGCTTTTTGCATTCTTGATTGCACGGTAACCTGGCTTTTCAGAAGGGTGTATCCTTCTTCTCTGTGGGCTTTGGGTATCTGCACAGAGGCATCCTGGTTCTGGATCAATCAGTGATGAGATAGACTGAATGGCTCTCTCTATACTAGTAAACTAAACAGGGCTAAACTTTTCAGGGTTCAGGCACTATATTATGATTATCCATACTGTTTAACTGCTAGCACAGTCCCTTACACAGTTTGGCCTGTGCCAGCAGGCGCTCTCTCAGACAATGCCCAGACACTCCTTGGGAACAGTGCAGGCAACAGATTGTTTCCATTAGGCGGAATGGGCGAGGCCACCCTGAATTGTGAGGATAAGAGATTTTAGCCATACGGATGCTATGTTGTGCTTCTTGTCCTCAGGGCTGGAGAATGAGCCGTGGCCTGTTTTATTTATTAGTATAGCTGTAGCCAATAATTCTGTCCAAATACAAACAGATTTTTGCTGGCCACTCACATATCTTTGGCAAGTGCTTGACGCTTTACGAAGGTTACTAGCCAGGCGCAGCTCCAGACTTGAGCTGAATTCATGTATTATGTAGTGCTGAGTCTGAAGCAGTATACCCTATCCAAACTCAAGATGGGAGGGCACTACAGAACAAGGAGGGAGGGTAATATGAAAACACGTAAGTAGATCTGGACAGATGAGCTTGAGTCTGGCATGAAGGTAGAACTAACAAACCCTGCTGGTTCCTGCAGGGCCACTTAATTATCTTCGAACTACTCCACAGTATTTCCTATACCTGAAGTACATTGCTGAGATGTTGTGCTGACTCAGCAGTGAGCTGATTCAGGTGCCTGGGCCTGACTAGCTCAGATTCCAGTTTGCGTGCAAGCAGCCGTACTGCTTCTGAACACAAGATGGCCCGAGCCAACAGCTCTGTCAGAGAGTATCCTGCCCATCACAGAGCCAACTCATATCGTTCCATCTGTGAAGCAGTTGATATGCAACACAGAAAAGGAGCCAGAGGAAATCAGGGTTTTTTGTAAATTGTTTGTTTGCTTTGTTGCTCTTTTTTTCATGCTGTTGATGTTTTCTCTTGAAAAAAATTTACAGGGATACTTCCAAATTATAATGAACAAAGAGAGGAATATTCCTCCTTAAGCAAAGACTTGAATCATGAAAAATGAAAGTTTCTCATTTCTCAGTTGCTTTAATACTTATACTGATAAACCAGCTTGGAAAGATTAACTTTTATTGAAACTGTTCTAGTTCTGCCATCAAAATCTCAAAAATACTAATTTTTTTTGTATGAAAGAAAAGCCACATGTACAACTGATTCCTGGAAAATACAGAGTATTTGTAGCTCAAGTAGACATTTCCAGAAGCTAGGGGCCGTGAGGGAAGCACAAATGAGAACTCTGTACCTTCAGAGAAATTACCTCTTTAGGGGAGGAACTATATGTATTTACACAAAGGTATAAATCAAAGCATAATTATTAGATAATACGCAGGTTAGATCAAGCTTGATATACCAAGTGGAATTGTCCTTAGGAAACTACACTTATTAGGCCTGAACTAAGTATAGAACTGATCAGGGCAAACCCTCTAAAGGCTAACATTTAGTGAAAAATACGGGTGATCCTTTGGTCCAGAGAGGTGGAAGAGGGTCTGATATATTTCTGTTCTAGCTATTGTTAACATGGCAGGAAAAAGTACTGGAAGTTAGGATGCCACAGTATTTGCCAGTCTTCCAGTTTGTTTTCAGCTATTTATAGATGTTGCATCCATATGTCAAGTTTTAAAAAACTCTCAAACTACTCTGCAGATTTCTAGGTAGCTAAATTAGCGAAATGTATTTAAAAAGGTGGAGTAAAAAATTATTCTGTATGTCACACTTTCAAGAACTGATTGAAGGAGTTTACTTGTATTGTGATTTCTTCAACAAGATACTTTACCTATAGAAATTAAACTTCAATTATAATTATCCTTTAATTATAAAATTAAGCTTGTACCAGTATCATACTGAAAATAACAACTTTGATTTTATTTCTCTATTTTAGATTTCGGGAATATAAAGTGATAGAAGCTTTGGTAGGACTGCTTACTGACCAGCCTGAAGAAGTTCTTGTAAATATTGTCGGAGCACTGGGAGAATGTTGCCAAGAGCCAATAAATCGAACTATTATCCGTAAATGTGATGGAATACCACCTCTAGTGAAGTTACTTACTGGAACTGATCAGGCACTACTTGTGAATGTCACCAAAGCAGTGGGAGCTTGTGCAACAGAACCTGAAAATATGATGTAAGCTATCATATTCATAGCATTTTAAATATTGAAAAAAAAATTTTTTTAGTTATTCTGGCACAAATATAGTCAAGTCTAATCTGACTTAAAAGGATATTTTACTTTTTGTTTTCCACAGGGCTGTGTGGGTTAGTTATATCCTACTGTAAAATGTGCTATATATATACATAAAAAATTTCATTAAGGAAGTATATAGAATGTAAAGCTTTTACATTTTGGGGAAAATCAGATAAACCTTCAGTAAAAAAATCAGTAAACTGATTTTTTTTTAAAGTTAAAATTCAAAGTTACAGAGCACCATTTTAAAGTGCTGTATGATAGGTACCTGTTTTGCCTCTCGTTTTACATCTGTTCTCAAATCATAAGTAATAGTCTAAATAAGAGAAAGTAATTTCAAAAGGAAATGTCCACATTTACTGTCATGAAAAATAATTTGAAAATTTTAGAGTATTATTTGTATTTTATCTGTTTTGTCCCTCCCCATCATTCCTTTTATGAACTCAGACTTTTTTTTGACCCTTTTTTCCCCTCTTACTCCTTTGCAAAACCAAAGAAAAAGACTGCCTTTTTACTGAGAGAGTTGCTGCTCTCTTTGGTTTTGTGATGTAGATTTGTACAGCTTGCAAAGATCCTTGAATTTTATGATTAAGTGTTCCAGTTAAATGTTGAGGTCAGCATTTACTGTGCTTACTGTTCCCTTACAGGGATATTTACCTCAAGATTCTCAGCATATTTCCCTCCTTATACATAGGAAAGGTCAGAAAGAGAGTTTTATTAAGCTCCTCCTGTTCTGATTTGCATAATTCACTTGATATTCATATAGCAGTGCAGGGAATTCTTCTCCTGAATAGGGCTTTTGTTTTCATGCTTTGGCTGTCACCCAGTGGCAAAAGGCTAGATGGTACACAACTGTAAACATGGGTTGTATGAACAGTTAGCCATGTAGCATAAAAGTATACATAAATGAAATCACTTCCGTGACATATCTTACTAAAAATCAGCCTTTAGAGTAATGTATTAACCTAACATAATTAACATTACAAATCAACTGAGAAATTTAAATGTCAATAAATATAAATTGATATTTATAAAGCGTCAGACATACTCCAGTACTCAGGACTATCACTTGTAGTATCCAGTATGGATAGCTTCATACTGGAATGTGGTCGGTATAAGCACCAAAAATAACACAAATTGCTGATAACATTGTGATGAACAAAGTCCATCTTGTTTTTAAGAAGGAGAGAATACAGATTGTTTGGGACAAAATTTTATGAAGTTTGCAAAGAGTGGACAAAGGGATCAAATGTCGAATTTGGTTCATATGAAAAAATTCTCTCTTGAAGTTTCTCAATTTTTAAAATGTTTTAAAAAGTATTTTAAAACATTAACAAGTAAGCAAGATCTTATATCAAGAGTAGAATATACTTTTTACTACTACATAAAACCTACTACACAGAAATTATTATTATTAGCAAGACTGTGACATGTACCTGATGTATTGTGCTATTTAGACTTGTAGTACCAGAAGAGAGAATGCTGCTATCTTTTTCCAAGGCATGATTCATCCAGGTGTGGACAAGTTTGATACCAATCCAGCAAAATGTTTTAAACTAATGCTTAGTTAAAACATTGACATCAGTGTTACTATTCACACGTTTGAATGATTTGCTTGATTGAGTGCTCTGCCTCTCATAGGGTTAAGATATTGGATTCCCACCCCCCCTCAAAAAAAAGGGACATCCATTCTCTCCCTTCTCCTCCTCTCAGATCGGTAGAGCAGGAATTGAAACTGTAGCTCTTCATCCAAATTCCTCCTTTTTGGGAAGAGTAAGTCAACAAAGACATGAAGGATACGTAGTCTGTAGCATCACTTTGTTCCATTTACAGAATTTGGGACTAAAGCAATAGTTACAAACTACTGTGGAGTTCATTTGCTTTCTGTAAACCTTTTCTGAAGTTCTTAACCAAAAGGACACATCTTAACAAGGATGTGGAGATGTGCTACAGTGGTCTGGTCCTGGCTGGATGCCAGGTGCCCACCAAAGCCACTCTATCTCTCCCCCTCCTCAATTGGACAGGGGAGAAAAAATATAACTAAAGGTTCGTGGATCGAGATGAGGACCAGGAGATCACTTAGCAATTACTCTCATGGGTAAAACAGACTCGACATGGGGAAATTAGTTTAATTTGTAACCAATCAAATCAGAGTAGGGTAATGAGAAATAAAATCAAATCTTAAAAACACCTCCCCCCCACCTCTCCCTTCTTCCTGGGCTCAACTTCACTCCTGATTTTCTCTACCTCCTCCTCCCAAGCAGCGCAGGGGGACGGGGAGTGGGGGTTGCAGTCAGTTCATCACACGTCTCTGCCGCTCCTTTCTCCTCAGGGGGAGGACTCCTCACATTCTTCCCCTGCTCCAGTGTGCGGTCTCTCCCCCAGTCCTCTACGAACTTCTCCAACATGAGTCCTTCCCACAGGCTGCAGTTCTTCACAAACTGCTCCAGCATGTGTCCCTTCCACAGGGTGCGGTCCTTCAGGAACAGACTGCTCCAGCGTGGGTCCCCACAGGGTCACAAGTCCTGCCAGGACCCCGCTCCAGCGTGGGCTCCTCTCTCCATGGGTACCCAGGTCCTGCCAGAAGCCTGCTCCAGCGCGGGCTCTGCACAGGGTC